GGGGGGTTTCTTTGTAAGTCAGAGACTTTATATATTTTAGAAAATCATAATTCGATGCAATTATAAAACTGTGAGCAATAATAATAAATGAAATAAAGAATTGACTGAATCTTAAAAGTGAAGACAAAGATATAAATAGAAACTAATGAATGAATACATAGGAAGAGCTGAAAACGAATTCCATCGCCAGAAACAAACAGTTATCGGACCTAAAAGAAGCCAAACTCGTCAGGAGTTCCAGCTTTAATGAAGTCTCCAATGTGTTCACGACATATGAACTCCATCTTCAAAAGTTTGAATACAAAAAGATTTGCGATCTCAAGGTTTATAATACCGTATATACACCGGTGGAGGTAACAACTTTTTCCGATCAAAATTCAATGCTCCAAAACGGATAATCCAATCTTAATCCTCTCTTCACTGTTTTATAGCCCATACTTTCCCGGTTTGTAAAAATATTTTTTATTAATCAGAAATCTACCATGGTAACTGCGCCATTTAAGTTTGCAAAAAAGAGGTTTTAACATTGAAATACATTAGATTTGGTCATAGAAAATGCATCATACAAAACTGGTGTTTGTGAACTCCATTTATTCCTAAACTAACCATGATCAAATTAATTCATTTAAAGTGTATTTGTATTTGATCCTGACCATTCTCACGAAGACATGTCTCTACACCATGCTTAAGAGAATAAATAGTCATTGTTTGTACAGCAAAAACTATACTAGATAAAATTAATCTGATAACTGGATTTGAAAGAGAATTCAAAATGAGCGAGTACCTATTTCAGGAATTTTTTATTGGCATTAAATTTCTTGGTGATTACAATTAGAAATGTGTAAATTTATGTAAAATTTTATTTTAAACATTAAATTCTTCAATTAAAAATTTTAATTTAATGTTAATAAAAAATTCCTGAAATAGGTACTCGCTCATTTTGAAATCTCTTTGAAATCCAGTTTTCAAATTAATTTCGTTTTCTAATATAGTTGTTACTGTAAAAACAATGACTATTTATTTCCTTAAACATAGTAGAGACATGTCTTCGAGAAAATGATTAAAACAAAATTCTACAAATTCCCTTTAAATGAATTAATTTGATCATGGTTAGTTTAGGAATAAATGGAGTTGACAAACACCAGTTTTGTATGATGCATTTTCTATGACCAAATCTAATGTATTTCAATGTTAAAACCTCTTTTTGCAAATTTAAATGGCGCAGTTACCATGGTGGATTTCTGATTAATAAAAAATATTTTTACAAACCGGGAGGTAGGGGCTATTAAACAGTGAAGAGAGGATTAGGATTGGATTATCCGTTTTAGAGTAATTAATTTTTATCGGAAAAAAGTTTTACCTCCACCGGTGTATATATATATTAATTACTTAAATGATAAATATATTCAAATGACTAATGAATTATTTTGTGAATATTAACAGAAATTTTTCTTGGAATTCATAAAAAGTGAACTTTTATTTCACGCCAAGACTATTGAGATGTTGACTGAAAGCTATGGCCATATCATGAATATCGACGCCGACAGAGATTTGCAGCAATTCTGCAATTATTTCAGTTTCACTCAATTGGGTTCACCTAAAAGGGATGACTCCAAGACCACAGTCGATGACAATATGCAAACACATCCGACATTAAGACGATTCAATTCGGCGCCGAATTTCAATTCAAGTACTAATCCAACAAATAATGATTCTTATGATATGAACACTGACTCGAAATCTATTGAATCGATTGTCGAGCACTCGGAAAGTGATAGCG